TAATGTCTATCCTAATATGTGTCCTGATTTGAAAGATCTTACCAAGTTATGTGTACTAAAAAACTTAACTTCACTAATTTTACTATATTTCACCCTATATAATGTGTCTATACAGATTTCACCAGACTTCATTCGGTATGATCTGTCTATACAGATTTCACCAGACTTCATTCATTATGATCTGGTCTATACAGATTTCACCAGATTTCATTCGGTATGATCTGTCTATACAGATTTCACTAGACTTCATTTATTATGAACTGTCTATACAGATTTCACCAGACTTCATTCGGTATGATCTATCTATACAAATTTCACTAGACCTCATTCGTTATGATCTGTCCATACAGATTTTACCAGACCTCATTTATTATGATCTGTCTATACAGATTTCACCAGACTTCATTCATTATGATCTGTCTATACAGATTTCACCAGATTTCATTCGGTATGATCTGTCTATACAGATTTCACTAGACTCACTAGACTTCATTCATTATGAACTGTCTATACAGATTTCACTAGACTTCATTCATTATGATCTGTCTATACAGATTTCACTAGACTTCATTCATTATGATCTGTCTATACAGATTTCACCAGACTTCATTCATTATGAACTGTCTATACAGATTTCACTAGATTGCATTCATTATAATCTGTCTATACAGATTTCACCATACTTCATTCGGTATGATCTGTCAATACAGATTTCACTACACTTTATTTATTATGAACTATCTATACAGATTTCACTAGACTTCATTCGGTATCATCTGTCTATACAGATTTCACCATACTTCATTCGGTATGATCTGTCTATACAGATTTCACTAGATTGCATTCATTATGAACTGTCTATACAGATTTCACCATACTTCATTCGGTATGATCTGTCTATACAAATTTCTCTAGACTTCATTCATTATGAACTGTCTATACAGATTTCACTAGACTTCATTCATTATAATCTGTCTATACAGATTTCACTACACTTTATTTATAATGAACTGTCTATACAGATTTCACTAGATTTCATACAGATTTCACTAGACTTCATTCATTATAATCTGTCTATACAGATTTCACTACACTTTATTTATTATGAACTGTCTATACAGATTTCACTAGATTTCATTCGGTATGATCTGTCTATACAGATTTCACTAGATTGCATTCATTATGAACTGTCTATACAGATTTCACTAGACTTCATTCATTATAATCTGTCTATGCAGATTTCACTACACTTTATTTATTATGAACTGTCTATACAGATTTCACTAGATTTCATTCGGTATGATCTGTCTATACAGATTTCACTAGATTGCATTCATTATGAACTGTCTATACAGATTTCACTAGACTTCATTCATTATTATCTGTCTATACAGATTTCACTACACTTTATTTATTATGAACTGTCTATACAGATTTCACTAGACTTCATTCATTATTATCTGTCTATACAGATTTCACTACACTTTATTTATTATGAACTGTCTATACAGATTTCACTAGACTTCATTCATTATTATCTGTCTATACAGATTTCACTACACTTTATTTATTATGAACTGTCTATACAGATTTCACTAGACTTCATTCAGTATGATCTGTCTATACAGATTTCACTACACTTTATTTATTATGAACTGTCTATACAGATTTCACTAGATTTCATTCGGTATGATCTGTCTATACAGATTTCACTAGATTGCATTCATTATGAACTGTCTATACAGATTTCACTAGACTTCATTCATTATAATCTGTCTATACAGATTTCACCAGACTTCATTCATTATGATCTGTCTATACAGATTTCACCATACTTCATTTGGTATGATCTGTCTATACAGATTTCACTAGATTGCATTCATTATGAACTGTCTATACAGATTTCACTAGACTTCATTCATTATAATCTGTCTATACAGATTTCACTACACTTTATTTATTATGAACTGTCTATACAGATTTCACTAGAATTCATTCGGTATGATCTGTCTATACAGATTTCACCATACTTCATTCGGTATGATCTGTCTATACAGATTTCACTACACTTTATTTATTATGAACTGTCTATACAGATTTCACTAGACTTCATTCATTATTATCTGTCTATACAGATTTCACTACACTTTATTTATTATGAACTGTCTAAACAGATTTCACTAGACTTCATTCAGTATGATCTGTCTATACAGATTTCACTACACTTTATTTATTATGAACTGTCTATACAGATTTCACTAGATTTCATTCGGTATGATCTGTCTATACAGATTTCACCAGATTTCATTCGGTATGATCTGTCTATACAGATTTCACCAGATTTCATTCGGTATGATCTGTCTATACAGATTTCACCAGATTTCATTCGGTATGATATGTCTATACAGATTTCACCAGACTTCATTTTTTTATGATCTGTCTATACAGATTTTACCAGACTTCATTCATTATGATCTGTCTTAACAGATTTCACCAGACTTCATTTGTTATGATCTGTCTATACAGATTTCACCAGACTTTATTATGATCTGTCTATACAAATTTAACCAGACTTCATTCATTATGATCTGTCTATACAGATTTCAATCAGTATGATCTGTCTTTACAGGTTTCAGATTTCACTGGACATGATGCGTCTTTACCAATTTGACTTTATTCTATCTGTATGATGTTCTCATACACATTTTGCTTGACTTTGTTTTGTATGAATCTAAAAATTTACCATTTTCATAAGTAACATTTTTTTTTACATATTTAATTGTTTAAGATATATAAGGTCATTTCCATAAAAGTACTGGTAGGAGCAAATCATGTTCATCTAAAATTGCAAGAACTTTTTCAAAACTACATTGCTACTACATACCAAGACAATTTTAATTTCTTAGTGTCAACATAAAAGTGGACATTCCCTCTACACCAGTAATAACAGTTGTATATCTAAGTTCACTCCCTGAAAGAGTAAGTCATAGCAGTACCAAACCTTGAGCACAGGAAAGAAAAGACAAAACAATTAACAGCTGTAATATAGTTTTATTTTGTACTTTATGGTCTTAAAAGTAACTCATGACACTCATTGATACATGTATTGCTAATAGATGCTCACACAGGACATCAATATATCAAGCGCAAAGCCAAAAATTGAAATTACATTTAATGATATTAATGAGGAAAAAAAAAACAATTGTGAAGCAACACCTGGTCTTTCCACAGAAAAGAACATCATCCAAAAAAGTAATTTAACCTTGTACATTGTAACTTCTCATTGGAAAACGATAAGCAAAAACATTTTGTACTTTCATTAAGCCAAACATCTGTTTCTTCTCCCAGTATGTTTGTGTACATACTACATGACAAGTTAACATATTGATGGCTGAAGCAACACTGGTCTAACTTAAAAAAAAAATTTCTTCAAAAATTACTTTTTTTACATTTTTAGCCTCATTGCATGAAATACACAAGTAAATAAAATATTATAAATAATTGTGAAATTTTATTGTTTTTATTAATCACTTGGAAAATATTAAATACAAAAACTAAGAATGATAGAGGAAAGAGAAATGTAACAAATTACTGTACTAGGAATATGGGGAAAAATATATTAAAAAACGTCACAAAATTTGAGTACATGTATAACTTGGATGGTGAACAAAGCTATAGATACAAGTGCCATGCCATGTTTAATTATAAAGAGCTGCAACAGCTTTTCTTTGACAACTTAGAGATATCACCTTACTTTATGCATTGGGTTCTCGGGGACGCTTATTTCGGCGTCCCGGTACGCATGTTTATTACAGCTGGACGCAAATATTTCAGAGCAAGGATTCCACGTACGCTTAATTTTGCCTGGGGACGCATAAAATTACCGATTGTTTACAACCACAAATACACAAATGCGTCAGCGCGTGTCAGTCTATAGGTAGGCGGTCCTATGCACATCGACCCGTGAAGCGATTAGCCAATCAGCGATAACGCTTCCGATCATTATCTCGCAATAGTTTTACACGCGCTGTACAGTACATGTATTTACCAGATATAACACGAGGTGATAATTTTATATCTTTGATCAACAGTTGATTGGAAATTAGCAAATTTTACCGACAAAAGGATAAAATTATCGACTATTTACGCCGCAAGTTTAAAGACTGTTTTCTCAAATTACAAATGAGTGTAATTTTGAATGATTGTCGAATATTTTCGGCATTTTCTAGGCACAATTTTGCTTTAGTTTCATTCATGCAAAAACTTTCTATAAGACTATTAAGAATTTAAGATATTGTGCCGAAATGCCAGACAACAAACCAAAATACACATACGCTTTTCTTTGATATTTAGATTCTATCCGAAAATGATCCCGAACATCGGCGATTTCACGTTCGCCAGAAACCCTAAAATTTCGCAAAAATTCTCGGGTTTCCAACCCAAACATGCGAATGAATTGTTCCTTTATTATTTAATCAACATTAAATCTTTAAATATCGATCTTCAATTTGCCCCCTTTTGAAGATATTTGCTAAAATAATTGTCGGGTCGGACGAATCTCTTACACACTGTGTGAAGCTGTACACGATTTTCCTATTCATTCCGCTAAACGCTGCCTATATACATTTACGTTTTTTTTTTTACAAATATAATTTTTTTTGTCTTTAGAGTGGACTTATTTAACCAGAATATAATTTGATTTGGTATAAAAGTGAAAAAAAAAAAAAAACGATTTCCATGTGTTGATGCATTATAATGAAATAATTTCATAATAAATACTAACAACAAAACAATAATTATACTATGTAGTTCAGAGTTTCTTTTGAATAACTATAAACTTTGGAAGTCTCTTAAAGATTCAAAATATCAGCAATGCTATTGTGAGCATTAAATGACTAATCTGTAAACATATTAATTGCGACGCGCTTTTGGACTCCAACTTTTTCAGGGTTGGGAGTCCATGGACTCCATGTTTTAAAGTCCTAGTGAGAACCCTACAGCAAAATGTTCTAAAAGTTAATTAGGATTTTACTTGAAAACCTGACTTGCAATATGTTTTCAGATTATCAATTTATTGATGCTATAAACATTAAATAAAAACATATAATTCTATGAAAGTATTGGATTTAATTTGCAACCAGCACAGACTGATATCAACTGACACACAACTGTGCCAGCTAGTTTATAAGGGTATACACTCTTTGCAGCTCGGACAATAAGACCCTTCCAACCATGTTGGCAATTAAGTGTGTGGTTCGATCAACTGGCAACTTATATGATAAATTCAATATGAAAATACAATTATGTCATATTCTCCGTGTAAATGCATAACTACTTGAATGTTATTTATGTGTCTGATAATTTTGTGCCGTGGCACAAACGACTAGATTCTCTTTATCTTAATAGGACGCTTCAGGGTAAAAATGTCACTCCATTCAATCGACCCTTTCTTGTTTGTAGTTTGGTTTTCTTTGAATCACCTGTAAAAAATGACAAAAGTTTACTTTACTCTGCATTGAAAGCAACATTTATAACATTGTTTCTACCAAAATTGTGATCACCTAAATAAATACACAAATTTTAAACTTAAATTCGGGCACGAAGTGTTCAATTTTGGTTAAGGCTTTCTTCCAAAGCATGTAGTGCTTTGATATTTTTAGATTTTATGTACAGTTAAACCTGTAAGTAAAGACCACTCATGGGAATGGCAAAATGTGGTATTTATTTACTTGTCAGTTTTTATCACTTAAGGACGTTTTTGGAAGTTTTCATGTAGACATATAGGCAAAATTAAAACTGCTCAATAGAATTTCTTTAAACTTGGCAAGTAAGATGTTGTTAGAATATGATAACAGAAACATTTTTAGCGAAAAAAAAAATTTTGGTCACCGTTCTCGTTTTTGAGTCATCTGCCTTTGAATTGGACTTTTTTGTTAAATTCAAGGGCAGATAATTTACAATGAAGGGAATTTATACATTTTTTTTTCTTATTTTCATCAAGCTTACCTTCATTTTAGTTGATATGCAAAATTTCAAGAACAAATTTAGAGTAGATAGTTTTTTTTCCACTTCTTCTTTTAACCTGTGCATTTTTTCTTTAAAAAAATGACCTGTTTTTTAAGGATTTAAAGTACCTTTATTTTCATTGAAAAAAAGTTAATGGAAATGATGTAAAGAATTGCATATTATTATGTATTGTACTCAACAATAAAAAGAAAAGCATAATCCAGAAGTAAAAACAAGAATTCATTTGAGTATGTATAAAGTATCTGCCCTTGAAATGACCTCAAATAAGTAGAAAAGTCTGACAATTCCCTTGAGACGTTTTAGGAAAGCATTTTCAGGGAAGGTTCTGTTGAAATAATAAATTTGTGAAATGCTATTTAGTTTGGTCTTTTAAGTAAAATATGTCTCAAAATTTATTGTCACTGAATAGGGACATCACTGAGGTGGCAGGATGACTGACTAAATTGACTACACATGACATCTAATAATGTTTCTAAGTTCTGACATTCTGAATTTGGTCGGTAAGATATAATTCAACCTTTAAAATAAGTTTTCAGAAACGTGCAGAGTTTGTGCTATATGTACGAAGTTAATGAAAAATACATACTTAGTTGAATGTTACACGGCTTTGTTTTTGGATTTGTTAAGAAATTGTGTACAGTAGTCTTCAAGCCTCGCTGTAATCACTGTCTGGAAAAACTTGTAAAATTGCACATTGGAGTACCTCTGTGTTGCACTGCTCTACTACGCTTGAATGGAAGAGAAAAATATTGTTTAAACAATTTATTATGGGTAAAGGGTTTGATGCTGCTTCCAACAATAATTCAGTCATATCACGACGGCAGTAAATACTTGCCCTGCTACAAAGTTTACCAGGTATACTAGTAAATGTAAACAGGATTTTAATATAAGTTAATGTCACATATAATAATGCAATACATGGCACCAAAGTAAATATTAAAGGCCAGGAGGTCTTCTGCACAAAAAAGCATTTAGCCATCCCAACAGTAGAGACTTGTGAAGAATTCCATTGTTCAAATTGAATATTATATTAAAGTCATGAAAATGTGGACTTCTTCATGTTTCCAATGATTTTTTAAAAATATTTCTGACTGTATTGTTATTTAAAAACAATTATGGAATCCTATCAAGTAATATTCATTGATAGACATGACAATATGTATAATATTAATTTAGTATCAAATCTGAAGAATCCATTACATATATAAACATGTGTATACATGTACCTTGTTAGAACCTGAGCTCCTTAATTTCACTGAAGCATTCATACTATCCCTCTGTCCACCTGCAACACATGGGAGATAAATGCTATAATACTTCAATAGTAAGTAAATAATAAATATTTACATTAAAATAAGCAACTTTTTATTTCATATATGAATGAAACAGAGACACTGTTCCCTGGCTTTTAAATCAAGCTAAAAATGATTATGTCACTTAAAATATGGAATTTAAAATTGCATACACAACCCTAACCAAGTCCAGCACTGCTGCAAACATAGACTTGCAAAGGATAAAATTCCTCCAGTTATTCAAATAATCTTAAGTTCGAATACATTTAATATGAATACAAACTTTCAGATTTGTCCTCAGCTGTAGAGGTGTGAGAGGTTCTAGAGGTATGACCTTGTAGACATGGTGTTGGCTTACTTGATGGGTTTGATCTACATACATCTCTCTGAAAGCAGTACAAATTTATTTACAGATAATTTAAATTTGCATTCTGTAGGCCTACATATGATTGATAAATACAATTATTCACAAAAAGTAATAAAAATATGTGTGAAATGTAATCTATTATAGCTCATATGATCTATTAACTATATTGCCTTATGTGGCATCAGAAGGTAACAATCTGTAATGTCCCAAGCAAACATCTTATATGGCACCAGACAGTATTGAACAAGATATAACAATGGTCGTAGGACAGGGGGGACCGTGAGACAGGGCAAACCATACCAGGACGGACCATATGTTTGGAAATGGCGGACCATGACTCGAGATGAGGCGGACCGTGATTAATTTCAAATTTAATACTGCTATTTCATTTATTTATTTTTTTATCTTTTGATATCAATATTATCAAAAACAAAAAAAAATTTAAAAAAATAAATTAATATAATTTTATACTAGTACATGTATACAATGTATACTTAGAGTATTAACATTTACAGTACCCTTGCAATTATAAGTATAAAATAGGTAGCGTAAGATAGTGGGAATGGATTGAAAAAATCTTATAAGTAAAACATATTTTCCTTCTGCACTGAAGTTAATAAACTTGACAAAATTACTTTAATTGTAATATTTTTTTATATAATCCATTCATAACATTTAAGTTGTATAAAGGAAAAATGATTATTTATATTAGTTAATTCCTTACTAACTAAAGGACAACCAAAATAGTTTATGTACAATGTATATCAATTTGCTAAACAGACAGCATCTAAAGTTTATGATGTAAACTAACTTGTCAAAGGAATTAAAATTGAAGGAAGTCAACGTCAAAAAAGATAAAATATTCCATCAAGACACTTTCCACCAAAAAAAAATAAATTCTGGATAGGTGCGCAATTTTGTAATGTCACTCATCATCATTTTATGCTATTGTGTTGTATGTCAGATGTGAATAACAGCCCTTTTCTTTATGTGTTGTTAAATGAAGTTTTACCCTCTTATTATTTATATCTGCTGTCTGTCATATTTAAGAAACAATGACTTGTAATTATATCTCTGTAATTGGTCAATTATCACCTGCATAATGTCCAACTCGATGCGTTATTAATAATTTCATTAAACAAATTTATTATAAATTAATAAACTGCATTAATGTATGTACAGTGCACTCCAGATACAACGAGATCGTTGGGACTTCGGATGATTCCTTGTTATAACCGAGTCTCGTTATAACCGGGACAGAACAAATTGGGGAAATCCGACACTGTCCAGCATCATTAATTTCTACTTTCGTGTGCATCCTTTTAGAAAAGTATATAATGGGAGGTAACTCTTTGCAATCAGAAGTTTTTGTTTTATTTAAATATGCATGTATATAAATATATCTAGCTATCATCGAATTTCAACAAAACATGAAAACACAACCTACGTCTAACCGCGTGTGTTTTTTCATTAATATGTACATTTTAAAATTTGTTTCCAAAACGTTGCATTTCTCACGAACAGCGAATAACACTGCAAGACATTAACCGCTTCCTTTCTTGTGACAATTTAGCCCGGAGCGCAGACAAAACAAGGCTGACACATTTGATCGCTAATTGCTCGACCCATTATCTCGTCCCACATCAATAATTTCTTCCTTAATTGACCTTTATTATTGGTCATCATGGTTTTTCTCAAGGTGACAAACTGATGCAGACGAAGTGCAAATGAAGTGCAAATGAAGTGACCTCCTTAAAATTCTGAAAAATATGCATTGGACAGCGAAATTATGTACGTTGTAACCGATATCTCACTAAAACCGAAACGATCTCATTATAAACGAAAAAAAATGAAAGGAAAATAGATGGAAAAAGGCCGGGACACAGTAGAACGTACGTTGTAAGGGGTACCTTGTCCTTGTTAAAACTGTTCTCATTGTTAAGTGGAGTAGACTGTATATGTTTATAATGATATTAAAAGAAAAAAAAGAAAATGAATTGACACTATTTAGATATTTTTATAACATTTAATTCCGAACCGCCTCGTCTTGAGTCAGGGTCCGCCCTGTCCCAAAATATGGTCCACCCCATCCAAACATACGGTCTGCCCTGTCTCACGGTCCGCCCTGTCCATAATTCATAACATTAAAACAATATAACACAAATCCATTTTTTTCCATTTTCATCTTTTCTATATTTTGATATTAAATGAATAACAAGATTAAACAAATGTTTATGTCAAATCAATCATTCAATGCGACTAACACTTTTGTTTCACTCATACGCAAAAATCATTAGAGAGGGTATCATGTTGCCCTAAGCCGCTTTTTTTAGTAATATCGGAAAAATGGCGAATTTAGAATAGAGACATCTACGTTAAAAAATCGTTACATTCAATCAAATTTGAGTTCTACAAACCGTTCAAAAGGCTTTTTCTCCCGAAACCAAGTGCCTATGGTTTTAACTGCAAATTGCATATAAGGAACTAAGGCCGTAAGGGAAGTAACTCATACTATCTGAACCCCATCTGCGAATTATGATGAACGTTGATTGTCATAATTATGACAAGTAAGAGATTCAACAATATTATTTTATCACAAAAGACTGTCTATCATCTATGCGCAATTGGCGCAAAGATATAAACTGATAAAGATGTTAGCTTTAATCTTGTAAAAATAAACCTTTTAACATAACAAAATAACCATACCAAGACTTCTGAAACCCTTTGGTCACATATCCTCGATGATATCTAACACTGTATTCCCTTTCATACTCGTCTAGTTGAAAACATCGGCTGGCGGCCATTTTCCTGATGTTTTGCTGAAAATCGTTCTGTCAGACGGTTTACGGCAGATAAATTTGTATAGACAAGGGGCATGAAATCTGTATAGACTTTCGCTTTAACGTCAAACTATTTACGCATCTCTTAAAATACCAAAATTAATTTTGCAGTATTCTATATCAAATCATCGTTCTACTGCAAGGATCGGAGCATATATCATCAGATATGTATGCAGTGGACATGTATACAGCGACTTGCCGGTATGTCATGCAAGCTGATCCTGACAATCCCGCAACTTTAGGCGAATTGAGGCGTCTTCTGCCTTGTTTACGTCAAGCTTTAGGCTGCTATGTATGTTTCAACTTGTTAAGAGATCCAATGGGACCAAATCATAATGTTTGCAGACACTTGGTATGTTTGAACTGTCTCGGTGGTAAAATGAAACTGAAGCCAGCTTGCAGTTGGTGTAAGGACCACTGCCAATTTGTTCCAAATCCTCTACTGAAGATCCTGATAACTTGCTTCAAGAAGTTATGCGCTTACATGTACTCTTCACTACTCGGAGATGCGATCAAAATGAGTTGTGTGAATGGTGAAACTAATCATCTTCTTAAACTAGTGCAGGAAGGAATGGACTTTCAAGATGATTATGTGCCACCTCCACCTAGACTGTCTCCACACAGTAACCCTGCACAAGCTAATGGAGATGAAGTTAATGAAAACGTACCTACCTGTGTTAATTCTTCACCACCAGCAACTACAGCACAAGCGTCCTCAGAAGAAAACTTTAAAGATGAGTCTGTGGCTATTGAAAATAATGTTTCTGATGAAAGAAATATTGAGTTGAGTAACTTGCCAACCGTTCAGCTAAATGACATTAAATTTAATAACAATAGGAAAAGAAAAATTGCGAAAGATACTGATCACAACTATGATAATAAAGTGCATTCAGTGATTAGAAATAAAAACTCAAAGAAACCAGTTATATTCTTAAAAAGAGCAGCATTAAATAAAAACAAATGTAAAAGTAAAAAAGCTGTTCTGAAGACTGCATTGAATAAAGCTAGAAAAAGAAAACAAGCAGTTGTAAAACGTTTTAATACAAGATCAAAACATGAAGCACCATCAGATTTAGAGAGGATTGACAATTCTAGCACAACTTTTAAAAAAATGAAGGTTGAATTACAACCCCCAGAATTAAAGCCATTAAGTTCATGTAACTGCGGAAAGGCAGGAAATTATAATCAATTAACTTGTATCGGTCAGAGGTGCCCTTGCTACAGCATGAAACTACCTTGTGTTGGCTGTAAATGCCGCGGTTGTAGAAATCCCAAGAAAGGGCCCGACTACCAGGTTATGAACACAATTGGCAGTTCTGCAGTTCTACGATCTGGAACAAGAAACGCAACTGAATCTTACACGTGACATTCAGGTGTTAGTGACAGACATAATTTTAACTGCTATATGACATTTTTAATGTATACTTACCCTTGTGATTGTAATTATGAAGGTTTTTGTAAATTTAGGTATTTGTTTTTATGTTAAATGATAAAAGAAAAAAAATTATATTTTTAAAAGTGTTAATATTTTCTATTTTTAGCTTCGGATTCTTAAGATACAATTTCCTCTCTATAACGAAAGTTATGTGTGAAGTTTACAGTCATATTTAGAGAGTAGGTAAAAAAAAATTATTGCTATGAAATAATGTAAAATTATTGCAATGCACATCTTTATAAAAGGTTCTTCAAAGAAATCACTATTTTTGGTTTTAATAATATTATTAAAGGTCCTGTAACACAAATTTTTTATGTTTTTATATCATAAATATGATGCTCAAATTAAGATTTATCAGTTTTGTAACTTTCAAAAAGCATTATATAAAAAGATGTTACAGAATTTAACATTTCATGTAAATAAAGGGAGGTAATAAAAAGTTTAATTTCTATAAAGTCTAAGTCAAATTTTTCAATAAGCAATGAATGCATATATTTAAACGATTACATAATATTATAATAAGTACAAATATTTGCAGAACATATTTTACATATTCTTCGATGTTTGAAAATTGTTTTATAAGCATAATTATATACATATATATAATTTCATTTAATTGTGGTATACAACCTCAGTTACAACATACAGGATCTTTAAAGAATGTAGTTTTATTCTTTAATCCAATGACTTGCACTACCTACTTACATTATGTCACAGGAGCTCCTAGGAATCACTGTTTCCATTAATTGTCTCATTAAATGTAACCAATTATGGCAATATATAATACCATCAAATAGGATGGCTTTAAGCCAGTACTAAATGCAGCACATTCATTGTTTTTGTACTTTTAGCTCAACTCAATGAGGTAAAATATGGAGAGCTGTCCAACTCGCATTCATTTTATATTTTTAATGTTTTATTTACATGTATTTGTCTTGGCTGATGTACATGTAAGCTAGTTACCTTTCAGTATTGTTACTTTATAGCCTCATATGATATCTTAATATCACACTAAGGAACAGTAATTGTAATTATATTATAAAACAGTAATTGTAATGACATTTAGAATCAGTAATTGTAATAAATGACATAAAGAAATAGAAATAGTTTTATGTCTAATTAAGAAACAATAATTGTAATGTCACCTTTTACAAACAGTAATTGTAATGACTTTTTCCCCTGTTTTTAATATAATTGTAATATCACATTTAGGAACAGTAATTGTATAATGTAATGACATTAAGGAAGGTAATTTTGATGACATTAGACATTTAAAAACATTTATTCATTTATGTCATTTAGAAACAGTCATTGTAAAACTATTGTTTTTCTTTATTTGTATTGGACTTTTTAGAAAAAAAACTTAAATATCTTTCTGTAAACTTTTATTCTGTAGGATAGGTAAGTGTGCTGATTAAAGAGAATAGGTAAAAAGAAAACAAACAAAACCAATAATGGTAAAAAAAATAATAAATCAAAGTTAGTGCGAAACTAAGGCTTCATACAATGTAGATTTTTTTTCTTTTTTTGCAAAGAAAGCAGGAAGCAGAATTTGATTCTTAATCGAGCTTAAATAAATATGTTTAAACCTACTTTGAATTGAGTCTGTATCAAGCACAATAAACATTAATGTCTGAAAATTAGACCTGCTTGTTTTAATGGTCCATGTCTTAATTCATTAAAAAAAAGTTTTGCGCAAAGTATACAGTTCCTGTATGGAACTTTGCAGAAATGGATAATTTTGTAAAGATTATTCAGTAAAATTTCATTAAGAAAAATTTATAGTGGAATGAAACATGAGAAAATAAGATATTTGATGTTTGGATAAAATTGCTAATACAAATTTTCAGAATTTAATAAAATCTTGATTGAATAAACTGTTATGCCTGTATCAATCTTGCAGTTAAATACTTGTGTATGTTTTTGCTATTAGTTTAATTATTTTCTATCTAATTGTGTAGTTTAACAAATAGTTAAAAAAGGTACAAATACAATTAAACACGGAGCTACAGTTTTCTATTTACGTTAGTTTTTGTTTTTTTGGGTTTTTTTTAAAGAACCATGTACCTTTATATTTCATTTAAACAATCATATTGTCAGCTAGGTTAATAGTAATAATTTTTTTGTGTAATAAATTTAATGATATAGTCATAGAAAATTTTATTACAATTTAAAGATTTCATCACAGTCAGTATATGTTACATGTATGTGAAGCTATTATTAAGTTACACAGGGTTTCTTAATTAATCATACCGGTACATGTAAAGTATAGATCTCCTGCCATTGATCACCTCTCACTTGACCTGATGTCTGTTTTGTTTTGTTTTTTTAAATGAAAAATTTACAGGTACATTATTCTGTTGACTTTTTAGCTCACCTGTCACAAAGTGACAGGGTGAGCTTTTGTGATCGCTTTTCGTCCGGCGTCCGGCCGTCCGTCATCCGTCCGTAAACTTTTACTTTAAATGACATCTCCTCATAAACCACTGAGCCAATTTCATCCAAACTTCACAGGAATGTCCCTTTGGTGGTCACCTTTACAAATTGTTCAAAGAATTTAATTCCATGCAGAACTCTGGTTGCCATGGCAACCGAAAGAAAAAACTTTAAATATCTTCTTTTAAAAAACCATAAGAGCTAGAGCTTAGATATTTGGCATGAAACATCTTCTAGTGAGTGTCTACCAAGTTTGTTCAAATAAAAGCCCTGGGGTCAAAATTGGCCCTGCCCCGGGGGGTCATTGATTTTCCCTATATGCTTAAAGTAAAAACTTAAAAAAATTTCTTTTAAAGAACTCAAAGAGCTATGGCTAAGATATTTAGCATCAAACATGTTCTAATAGGTGTCTACCAAGTTTGTTCAAATAAAAGCCCTGGGGTCAAAATTGGCACCGCCCCGGGGGTCATTGATTTTCCTTATATGTGTATAGCAAAAACTTAAAAAATCTTCTTTGAAAAAACCCAAATAGCTAGAGTTAAGATATTAAGCATGAAACATCTTTTAGTGAGTGTCTACAAAGTTTGTTCAAATAAAAGACCTGGGGTCAAAATTGGCCATGCCCCGGGGGTCATTGATTTTCCTTATGTGTGTATAGCAAAAACTTAAAAAATCTTCTTTGAAAAAACCCAAATAGCTAGAGTTAAGATATTAAGCATGAAACATCTTCTAGTAAGTGTCTACAAAGTTTGTTCAAATAAAAGCCCTGGGGTCAAAACTGGCCCCGCCCCAGGGGTGTCATTGTTTTTAACTATATGTGTAAAACTTTAAAAAAATCTTCTTTTAAAAAGCCCAATGAGCTAGAGCTTTGATGTTTAGCATGAAACATTTTCTTATGGGTGTCTACCAAGTTTGTTCAAATAAAAGCCCCTGGGTTAAATTGGCCCTGCAACGTTGGGGGGGGGACGGGGGTTGGGGGGGGCCTATATACAGGTGAGCGACCTCAGGGCCATCATGGCCCTCTTGTTTGTGCTTATGTTTTCACTCATTTGAAGCTGTTGTAAATAAAGACATGAGAAAAGAAATGAAAAATTTGTTTTACCTATTTTCCTTCTTAACATCTACCCGCCAATGACCAGAATAGAGGAAAATTTATATAATCAACAAACCCTGCTAGGATCAAGATTGCTATGGCTATGAATAGTGTTGCTATGATACTCTTCTAATCTAGAGTAACTTTGAAGTATTTTTATTTTATCATGGTTTGCAGCAGTTGACCACTAACTATGTCACTTGAACTGGAAGAGAACTTAGTAAATGAAGTATAGATAATAAATTTATAGAGTAAGCCTATTTGGCTGGGTTAATGTTTTCCTCGATAATCAAAAGATGTCTTTTATGTTCACACTATTCTTGCATTTCAAAGTTATAATCAGCATGTCAGTATAACTGAGAAGGAAATTTTGGATTATGAAATGTCAAGCTTGAAAACAAGGCTGTATTTACAGATGTCATTGAGTTCAAAACCTCACAGTATACAGGCTATCAATATATACAGCACAGCTTAGTTTCTTCTAATAGCAGATTTCCAAAAAGGTATTTACAGATATAATACAAAAAGTCGGCATGCTGCAGCTGGCACTGAGACCCACGGGTCTTTGGAATATTGGTCCAGTATGCTAACCACTACACCACAGTGACTACCTTATATATTATATTAAGTTATTTTTAACTTTATTTTGACATCATCACTTTTATTACCATAGTTGCGAGCTATTATATGTATTAAATGTTACAACTTACTGTACATCGTATATAATTGCTATCAATATACATTTATTGCAGTGATACAAGGCCACTTTCAATAACCTTGCTGTTAGTTCAATAGTAAGTGACATGGTTAATTATTTAGTAATGTAACTTAGTTTGAATATAGAAATCAACTCCAGTTTCAATTTAAAAATGTAATTATTTTATTTATGGTTATTTAGTGTCCATCTGTTAACCAGGAGGTCTGAGGCTGACAAGCCCTGGTCTGGGAAGTTTTAAATTGAGTAAAAAAATGTTTTAGAGGTTAAAAAAATTAATGACAATGCTTCTATATAATTGTCACTTGTGAGCAGGAAGAATATTTACTAGCAGTGAACCACAGGAAAGAAATAGAAAGTGAAGGACAAAAAAGTCTTAAAGGGAAAGGTAAAGTACATGAGCATGCAGTATTTTTAGAAATTAAGTAACAAGTGGCAAGCTGAGAATAGTTGTTTATAAGTTTTTATTAGTTTGTAAATTGGTATTAAAGGTTAATATTATACTGTAGACATTGAAATATGATTTTTTTTCAAAACAGCTTATATTAAGTTTTGATGATACATGTATATGATAAATATCTGTGCTTGGATTGACAAATACACATTCTATTTGGATTTTAAGGCATTTTGAGCTCCACACCCCAAGTGTCTGGGTGGTTGTAGAAATAGGCCCTTTCCAACAGTTGACTGTTATAAATCTTCAGTAACCTGGTTAAATAGTGTCCGCCTAGTAATCAGGAGGTTTCAAAACTTTGTGAGTGTCTGAGTAATTTTTTTATATAATTTGTCACAAGATATATCAGAAAATACTCTGAACAGCTTGTCTTTTTCGTATTTAAATGTCCTTTTCGTATATCTTTCCGTTTTCTTTGTTAAAGCTAAATGTCCTTTTCGGTATTTATGCACATATCGATATTTTGGATCGGCCAATCAAATTTGCCGTTGTATACATGATACAGGTGTAAACAAATTGTTGGCAACGAGCACTATGCCAGGTATTTTTTCTATATTTTGCACAATTTCCATATTTTCCTGGCCGTCAGAATATGTATAAATAAAAGAAAAATAGCAATTGATATGAAAAGTATTATGTATTAGACATTTTTTTCTAAATTCGATCTAGATATCCTATAAAAGGAAAACAGTCAGTGGTTCGTTCCAGATGTTTTTCGACCCAGATAAACCATTTTCCCCAGTATTTTGTAAATGAGCCTGTGGTCTTTAAGTTGTGAAAGTTAGTGATGTAATGCATTGTTTATGAATATATATTCATATTTTATACTGTTAAGATTGAGCTCCCTTTTTGCAAGGTTTTTACTTCTCTTACACCATTTTCTAAGACATCAGCTGATCAGATATTCCTGCCTGTAAATTGGCATCTTTGAGGATGGTTGGCAGTATTTGGGATAGATAGATAAATAGTCATTGCAAATTTTTTAACTTAAAAGGTGGAGGAAGACTTCAGGCCATGCATAATTTCAGGCATCTTATTACCATAAGCAAGCTTGTTAGCTCTCTCACATCAAAGAATCAAAAGTCCCCAGAATTAATTAAACCCAGCTTTAGGGCTGGGCATATTTCTAGTAAAAGTCTGTACTGGTAGTGAGGGAAAATACCTGTACATGGCCGCTCCCATTTGTTTTGTTTTTTGATAAATTAGGCCAATTTTTTTTTATATTTTGGTTTACTGATTTTTTCCAAAAAAAGGTAGGGTCGGCGGCGGGAAAAAAAAAAAAAAAGTTTTCATAACTATAAATGTGGTGCATACATATACATAGTACTTACTAGAGCAATGAAATTAAAAACATCGCCGATTGTCTATTCCAAAGATTGTTTAAATACACAAAAAAAAAACTTTTGCTCATATTGCCATTGTTTAAAAACACACATGAAATCTACACACAATGACTTATGACAAGTGGCGAGCGAGCTCTTCAAAAGAATCTGTCATTCTTTGATGTTTACACACTGCTGTGTAATCTGAATCATCAAAGGTGCCGAAAATCAGCTGACTTGCACTCATTTCTTTAAAGATCAGATGTTAAAAAAACTGTCAAGAAAAGATTACACAAAGTCATGTTCAATTTTGCCCATTGTGAAAATATTTTTATCGGATAATTAGCGGGTCAATTTTTGACATAAAAATCTATTTAAAGTAAGTGCGGGCATTTTTTTTTTATTTTGTTTGTTTGAAACCTGTATTGAATCTGCTTTTAAAGACTAATTTTTTTGTTAAATCTGAAAATACTGATCTTGTCATAACAGCAGATTTCTCTCGCTCTGTCCTTGAATGTAATTGCTTACGAAATTTGGCGTGTTTTTTTTTTGTTTGTTTGGTTGTTTGGTTGTTATACATTTTTACACATTTCGACCTTCAATGCATTGATGAAATATGATCAAGTCCTAATTATAATTCTGTGAGAATGGCTTGACCCCATTTTACAGACATTCTTTCATAATACACCAATAAACACTTTGCCCAACTAGCAGACGACAGGCTATTCTCAAGTAAAGATAACCGGTTGCGTGTATAAATCGTAGGTAAAATAGTCTGGCATGTGGTAGGTTTAACAGTTAATTAAAATACTTACCACGACATTTCTTTGACAAGTCGTATTATTAGCAGCCTATTTCAAGACAACACAGAATTTTTTTGGGGGCAGATTTTTTTTTTTTTTTTTTCATTTTCCCAAAATACAGAGTCGGCGGGTCTGTAAACCGAAATATCAAAAAATAATGGCCTTAAATATTCATTTATTCAGAATGTTTTTAAAGCATCAAAATTGTAGTAAAACAACAAAAGAAAGTTGTTCTTTTAATTTCATCCATATAATACTATAAATAAAGACTTAATTAATTTAATCAGTCACTGTAGTAAATAAAGTGTATATTTATACAGCGCAGAAGAAATATTCGGGTATCCATGAAGCAGTTGCTTCAGGCGATGTCAATGCTTTGGAAACGATGGTTAAAAGTGGAGCCAGTATAAATGAAGTGGATGATCGAGACAAGTTCACACCTCTACACTCTGCCTGTAATGTTGGAGCCCTAGAGGTATTAAATTGTAAATTATCCCATTTTATAACTGTTTGTAAAACTCAATTTGAGCCGCGTCACGACAAAACCAACATAATGGGTTTGCGACCAGCATGGATTCAGACCAGCCTGCGCATCCGCTCAGTCTGATCAGGATCCATGCTGTTCACTATCAGTTTCTCTACTTGCTATAGGGTTTGTAAGCAAACAGCATGGATCCTGATCAGACTTCGCGGATGAGCAGGCTGGTCTGGATCTATGCTGGTCGCAAACGCACTATGTTGGTTTTGTTGTGACGCGGCTGATTTATTTTATAAGGTTAATAATTTAACAGTTCTCTGTATGAAATTGAGATAATCAACTATATAATCTGCAAGATAAATAATATTGTACAAGTCCAAATATATCCCATATTGGATCGGATTGGGTCCAATAATGATTTCTATTTGAACATCACATGGTTCAAAAAGCTGACAGTTTATTGGTTATTATATTATATAAGGTGTGAAATAAGATAGGTTATTAGCCATAAAAAAATCCTGTAATTCGTCATTTAATAAAATGTTTTACATAATTATCTTTTAATATGAAACTTTTATAGAATTATAAAAATAATAATGTGTTCTAGTCAAATATCTCTATGTGATCCAGGGATTATTTCTAGGTACTGCATGCAAATGTATTTGTTTTTGGTTATGAAATAACTAGCACATGTTGACTGTCTGCTTGATGGTGGATATTGGCAATCTTTGACCAAGCATAATAACCTCTGCTCTTTGGTGTATTATACTCTGTTTTCTGGTTGACAATACCCAGTAAGTCATGGGACAGCCATGTGTTATTTATGTAAAACAAATTGCCTTTTTTAGCTCGACTATTCGAAGAATATGAGAGCTATTGTAGTCGCGTCGGCGTCGGCGTCAGCGTCCGCGTCGGCGTCTGCGTTGGTTAAAGTTTTTTGTAAAGTCAAATATCTCATTTATTACTTGAGATATTCAATTGAAACTTACAATACTTATTTATAGTAACAAGGTACATCAGATTGACAAGTTGGATAACTCTGCCTACAATATTGACAGAATTATGCCCCTTTTTAACTTAGAAATTTTGGTTAAAGTTTTTTGTAAAGTCAAATATCTCAATTATTGCTTGAGATATTCAATTGAAACTTACAATACTTATTTATAGTAACAATGTACATCAGATTGACAAGTTGGATAACTCTGCCTACAATATTGACAGAATTATGCCCCTTTTTAACTTAGAAATTTTGGTTAAAGTTTTTTGTAAAGTCAAATATCTCAATTATTTCTTGAGATATTCAATTGAAACTTACAATACTTATTTATAGTAACAAGGTACATCAGATTGACAAGTTGGATAACTCTGCCTACAATATTGACAGAATTATGCCTCTTTGGAACTTAGAAATTTTGGTTAAAGTTTTTTTGTAAAGTCAAATATCTCAATTATTGCTTGAGATATTCAATTGAAATTTAAAATGCTTTTTTATAGTAACAATGTACATCAGTTTGCAAAATTGCATAACTTTGCCTGCAATATTTGCAGAATTATTTGCCCCTTTGAAACTTAGAAATTGTGGTTAAAGGTTAAAGGTATTCAAAGATATTTACTTGAAACTTTACACATGCACTTAGGGTCATAATTGGAGGGTCATAATTGTATGTCACTGACCAAGTTCCATAACTCTATCTTGCATTAAGGCTGATTCATATCCCCTTTTCTACTTAGTCTCTTGGTTAATGTTTACATACACGTTTTACATATCTCAATAACTATTAAAGATATTTATTTAAAACTTCACATATGCATTTAGGGTCATAATTGTAGGTCACTGACAAAGCTCCATAATTCTATCTTGCATTTAGGCTGATTTTTCTCCCCTTTTTCAACTTAGAAATTCATGGTAAAGTTTTGCTTGTAAGCTGTTATCTCAATAACTACTGAAGGGTTTGTGCCTTTTTTGGGACAATTTAATGCATTCATAATAATAAAGCAGTAATTTACTTGATAAAACATCTTAATAACAAGCCTAAATTGTACCTTTTCTGTCAAATTTATGTATTCATAGGTAATTAGTATTATTATACTCAATAAAACACCCTTGTGACATTACCTTCCGAAAATTTAAGCCAATACTGTATAATTAAACTCTCTCTAAGGCCTATAACATGAATTTATAAAAAAAATTTAGCCCTTTTGTGAACTTAAAAAATTTAACATTATCAAAGCTCTTTTACTATCAAGCACTTAGAATAGTCGAGCGTGCTGTCCTACCTACAGCTCTTGTTTGATCTACTGTTACTTGGTTTGTTTCAGTGCCTACATTGGTTGTTGTGGCATGGAGCAGATACCACAGTTACCACACCTAAAGGCTGGACCCCGGCTCATATTGCAGCAATCAGAGGACAAGATGCATGTCTACAGGTAACGCGATAGTACCAGTGTCATATCATACAATGTTAAAGTTTGTCACATGTGTTGACACTTCCAGCTGCAAGCACACTAGATGATTGTAAAAATGAAAACACATCAGGAGATACTAAAAAGATCTAACAGAAGTTTTTAGTTTAAAATTTTCTAGCAAATTTCCTAATGGAGGGAGGGCTATTTCAGAACATAGGGAGCCAGCACATTGTTTGGATAGCATATTAAATACTTATTTGAACATCTGAACACACTAGATTATATAATTACTGGGATCCTACATATTACCGGACAAAATATGATGTTTTTTCGTTGTAACTTTTATTTAAAATAATACAAAAGAATGAAATTTTACCCAAATAATTGTGGGTTCTTAATATACGTAAACATTCCTTTATCAAACATAAAATTTAATTTTTGACCGTAGAAATGTGTCTTTAAAGTAGGGCATTAAAAGAGGGAAAAAATCGTCCAGACAACTCAATTTACCGGACATTGTGTTTCAAAATATTTTGAAGTGTTAAATTGAAATTAAGCAAGGAAACTACGACTATTGAAAGGCAATGTTAAGATACTGGAAAAAACCAGTACCGTATAAGTGGTTTTTTCTGCGGTGACTTTATTTCTGCGTTTTCTGCGGTCAGTTTCGGCACCGCAGAAATAAAAACCGCAGAATATTCCCCTACCTGCTACGATATGTATCCTACATTGTGACCTGCTTCGTCAAATGTAATAACGACAAAAAAATTATAACGGTTAGCGGGTTTTCAAGTTGTAAAAAATTGTTGTCGGCTAAGTATGTAATGTGTGTTTGTAAGGATGTACTTATTGTTAATTATGCTAATTTAAGAATAAAGATATTTCAAACCATTCCAACCCTTATACTGCTAAATAATCGTTGTTTACTTTAATTGTCATCTGATACGATACGGTAAACTTCTATCATTTTCATTCAATTAAAGATCATACTACCGGGGTATATTTTTCACACGTTACTTCACGCTGATCAAAGATGTATACCTTTCTATTGTTGCGCATTATATTTGTTTGCAAGCAAACAATATTATTGTTTGTAATTACTATACAGTTTTGCGGTGGGGTGACGACGATAAACAAATGCGAAGGTGTACATGCAAATATAATAGATAGGGTAATGTGACTTAGACTTTGATAAGACGAGTCGCAGAATTTAAATCATGTTTTGTCCAAAGAATGTGCCGCAGAAATAAAGTCCGCAGAAATAAAAACATGCCAAAATTTGGAAAAACCGCAGAATTTGGAGCCCGCAGAAAAAAACACTTATACGGTATGTCACTAAAATAGACACGGCAGCCATGCTTGTTAGGAAGAGGCCAATATAGGGGTGTAATTGAAATAAACACTATTAACTCAATTAACGTATTGATTCTTCATGGTCCTTAAAAGTATGACACATTTTGATATTCAAATGGAATTCTGTTCTTTCTCATACAGTTTCCTTTTGATCATCATGTAGCATGTTGCAAAAGCCATAAAGTCTATTTTTTGTACATTTCATGTACAGTTTCATCCCATGTGCGTAACCCATCTCCTTATATGTTTTTTAATTTGCATTTCTTCGTAAAAGACAACAACAAGATATTGTTTGAACGAAATTTAAAATTATTTTTTATCCTTAAAATATGTTATGATTGTCTCCTGAGTTAACTTTGAGAAGAACTAAAAGTAAAATCCATCTAAAATAAGTTAAATAACCCATTAAGGGCCTCAATATTTGGGAATGAGCAGAACAGATTATTCCCCCGCATGACCAGGTCATGGAATAACTAGTAAACTAAAGGTTATGTTAGTAAATAGAACTGAATCAACAATATTTGCCTGAGAGTGGTTTTGTTGTTATTTACTTTGCAGTAGAAAGTGTGTGTACGATTCAGACCGGATGATTTTTGAATTGAAGCAAAAAATAAAGCCTTATTTGACAGGAATAGATTTTGTCCGGTAAACTGATTGTCCGGTAAACATGTAGGATCCCAGTATAGTCTATATAATATGTGATAGTGAGAAATTTTTTTCTAATATGTTCAAATAAGCATTTTATATGCTATCCAAACACTGTTCTTGCTCCCTATGTTTCAAATTCAAGAAGTTTATTGTATAATCAGACCACCAGTCCATATATACATATTACATAATACATATAATATTACAGTTATGTTTCAGCATATATATTTTAACTTTTAAAGGGCAATTATCATTAATAGTGTCTTAAACTAGCTTTAACCCTGGACATATCCAATTTTCCCGAATATTTTGACGTAAAAGAAACCACTGAGCCGAACCCATGCTAGAGGTTCTGCCAACACTGTTTAAAATGATATTGTAAATAGGATATTTTAGGGTTTAGCAAAAAACAAAATGATATTATACATAGTAACATTGTTTATATTTTAGGGTTTAGCAAACAATGGCGTGAATCTCAGTGCCAAGGATCATCGAGGGAGTTCACCAGGTCATCTGGCCGCTGCACACGGCAACTCATTTACACTGAATACTATTCTCCGAGCGGGAACAGTAAGTCTTCTTCTGTGTTCATGATTTATTTTAGATTATTTTAAAAAGATAATTGAGCAGTGTCACGACAAAACCAACATAGTGCGTTTGTGACCAGCATGGATCCAGACCAGCCTGCTCATCTGCGCAGTCTGATCAGGATCCATGCTGTTCGCTTACCAACTCTATTACAAGTAGAGAAACTGATAGCGAACAGCATGGATCCTGATCAGACTGCGCCGATGCGCAGGCTGGTCTGGATCCATGCTGGTCGCAAACACACTATGTTTGTTTTGTCGTGACGCGGCTCAATTAATTCATTGATTCGGGGCTTTTATTAAATTCCAAATTTGGAAGTCAGAGACACATTGGAAGTCACATTATATAGATAAAGAAGGTAAAGCATTATAAATGTATTTATGAAGTCACAAGCCAAAATCAAGAGTAAATGACCCCCAAACTTCCACTAATGGAAGCCCTTAATTGATTTCATTAATATGTATAAAGACAAATTTTCTCTTTTAGATTTTTGCTGATCTTTACTGAAATAAACTTTGAATTACTTACCGTGGATGTTGTAATATCCCAGCCTCTAACAGTCTATTTGTCAGCTTACGTTTACAGTATTTTATTATTGATACATTGTACTTATCATTCCTTTAGGCAAGATGTTAAATTTTTTATAATTCTTTCACATGAAAAAGGACAGAAAATATTTTACCTGCAAAATGTGAATAAAATTTTTAAGACACCTGATATCCTACAGTGTAATTTTATATCTGGACTTACTGTAAAAATGTAAAAAGATTTTAACAAATTGAAAATGTTTTATTATGAAGGGATTTTTGAATCAAGATGGAGAAAAGGTAAAACAGTTAATTGGGATTGTTATCCAAGAAGCATGTTGTTTTTTTTCATGAGTTTTTGCTTGTTCAACTTAAAAGAATGGCAACATAATATTTTTTGTGAGCTTTTGTAACACATGGTGTTTATAAAAACTGTTTTAATATCAAAAAGTCTGCTTTGTTGACGTTAGGGTTACAACAAACTTTTAGAATGAATTTTGAAACCCTCATATTTAAAATCCATGATTAAAGTTAACTTTACTATTGGAGTAGTTTTATCATTTGAAAAAGTAAGGGAGAGCTATTATGTACTCAAACCTGCATCGCCATTACATCAAACTAAGTTTTTGCATGCAAGTATCTCCAAAGGTAATTGAAGAGAATTGGTAAAAATTCCACACACTTGCTCTCTGTGACATGATGGGCACAGGACCAATAACTCCTGAGATACCTTTGTACAGAGTTATGCCCCTTTTCCTACTTTCAAGCACTGAGAATAGTCATTAGAGCTGTCTAATACGGACAGCTCTTTGTTTTTTACTGGGTACACATATTTAATGTAAATTAATCCAAAATCTTTTCTGGCTTTCTATTTAAAGAAAAGAATGAATTTTAGATTTGCTGTGTTGGTTCAAGTAGATTTTTGGTCTGGTTATTCAATATTGTTAATTCAACAAAGATTTATTTGTGTATAGACAGGCCGTCATTAAAGTGCCTTTTTCATTTTCTTTTAACAATGATTGTGGCAACAAGTCAGTTGCATGATCATTATATAGCAATATATTACTAAGTGCCAGGTATAATCCATTTTTGAGAATCCAAGATGTCATAGTCTTTGTCATGTATAACCCTTAACACCCTAATTATCATAAATAGACTTGTCTAGCTTCCATTTTTGGAACTGTCCATTATCAATTTTGGGGATATCAGGATGAAAATTTGAAATATGTCAGCCAACAGTTTGGAGCCTGCATGGTCGGACTGTATGGATTGTGCAGGCTAGCCTGGCTTTATACTGTTGGCAAAGGCTTAACAATTACGGTTCCCACAGGGTAAGGATTTAAAAGTGATATTTTCATCAATACATGTGAATGATAATTTTTGATTTTTCACTGACCATTGTATATGTATGTTGTGTATAACACATAATTACGTTTAGCATGATATCTGTGTGAATGTTTATGTTTGTGTCATTTGTTTTAAACCATAGAATAGGTTAGGGGTAGAAACATTACTCTCATTAATCAGTTTTTTTTTTACATGACTACTTAAAGTGGCTTTCAGCTTTTCTTAAGGTAAAACTTGTTATTTTTAGATAAATCTTTTCATATCCGATTGTCAAGTCAAAAGAATTAAGGTGGAAAATGTAAACTGCTGTCAATAAAATATATAAACAATAAGGAAACCCCTTGATTCCTCTTATCTACCGGTCTGCTCTCTATATGTAAATTAGTAAAACAAACTAGGTTCAATTTTCAGAAACGAATGTCACTGGCGTACTATAAATAGCTCTAGGGACGCTGTTTTGAAGAAGGCCTAATAGTGATATGATGCACATTTCCATTTTCAATAAAATATAAAAGCTGAAGGCTGTTTTAAATATAGACAAATTGGAATCCTTTATGATATTAAATTAAAATACCTTTCCTTAAAAAATTGATAATTTTAAGCCATATAGAAAAATAAATTAAGTTTTTAAATTTTCTTCGTTTATACATTGCATCTCACTTCAGATTCCCATCTTAAAATCCACATAAAATATTTGCATTACATGTAAATTAACTTTAAATTTTTAAATTGTAAAAATTATTAAAATTCAATAAAACCTGTGAAATTGCATTCTATGGGTCAAGTTAGGAACACAGGTCTATGCAAACTTAATTACATTGTTTGTGATATTTCATAGTCAATTTGAAACACTTAAAGTACTGGGACTCCACTGCAATCACTCTAAAGGGACTCCACTGAGGTTTTTTAACATGATGGGACTGAAAATATTTTTTCCAGATAAATGTACCATTTGATGTAGAAATTTGTGCAAAATTTCAGATCATTCGCGCACTTAAGCGTTTAAACGCTTTTCACTCAAATGGGGCTAAGAAAAACATGAAAATGTGATTTTCAAATTATTGCAAAGTATTATTTCTAAACTATCTTTGAATATATTTCTGTTTAAATTGCCCCAGCTCACTTATGTAAGAAATTCAAATGTTATGTTTTTAGCCTTTTAATTACCTCAGTGGAGTCCCTTTAATTAGAATGATTGCTGGAATAGTCATTTCCAGTAAAAAAGGTTTTTTGAAATGCAGCTGACACTTTTATATCATTTTTTTTTATTTGTAAAATAAATTTGATTCCGGATAGTGCAGTTTTTCTTTATGGAGAGTGAACATGTACCTGTAAGAGGATTTTTTAATTTCATATAGAACACTCAGGTCAGATTAATCAACATAAGATAATGTCTCACTAAAAATTGTCATTTTTTTTGCAGGATATTAATTCTACAGATAAAAATGGCTGGACCCCAGTTCACGCAGCTTGTTATCATGGGAGGCTCGGATGTTTGCAGTTACTAAATAAATGGGGAGCCAGCATCGATGAAGTGGATAATATTGGGAATACCCCGGGTATGAACATAATAGATCCTTGTATTCAGGAATAAGAAGTCTTATTAAATAAGATCAAAGTTTTCATTCAACAATGGTTTTATATAATAACTTTTGAAAAGACTTCTATTTTCCGAAGATAGAATTTTAATGTACAACTGCTGTCATAAATATAACCCTCATATAGTGCCAAGGGTCTTTATTATCTCATTTAGGCCATAATATTAGTTATAAAGATTTTTGACAAGTTATATGGCCCTATATAAACGGTTGTTTGTAAATATCAAGGGTTATATTGCAAACAACCATTTATATACGGCCATAATAACCTGTCTGGAATATTTATTACGAATTTATTGTACGGCAAACTTCCTGTTTTTAAGAGAAAAAAGTGACATTTCTTCATAAATCTACAGTAGCTGTGTTTATAAAACTATATAAACATTACGGTTATCCAATGAAAAGCGACGTTACAAACTTGCAGTACTATAATATCCGGTATATCCCATCAGAAACTTGTAATACTAATGATAAATAGGTAAGATTACATCTTATTTAGCCAATAAAATGGTCATTTCAAACAAGCAGTATTAATAATGTTATTATATATAACTATATAAACCATTTCAGCTCACTATGCTGCGGCTGAGGGACACCTGCCGTGCCTTAAGTTCCTTGTCAGTATGGGTATAAGTGCTACACATATCCTCGGAGCCCGCAACGATCAGGGTGAAACCCCGAAAGATCTGGCCCATCAATTTTACAAGGATAATGTCATAGAGTATATTAATGGAATAGAATGGGAGAGGGACCATCCTGAAGAGGCAGAAAGTAAGAAAAAAATGTTGTTTTCATGTGGGATAAGATGTTCACATGTTTGAAGAACAGTTTGATGATCACTGACTTTGTTTAATGTCATATTTTCAAGGACTGGGAATCATATTCAAATATTTGAAACTCCATCAAGTATTTTAATTAGGAAAAACAAATTTGAATATTTATTATGAAAACTGATTGCTGTTTATTGTTATTAATGATTATAATAACTATTCAATTTTTTTTATTTCCTCAAGACCTGGCATTCCCTGCCCATGTTGCAGCATTTAGTGGAGATTTAGACCATCTTAGAATGTTGGTGGAGAATGGAGTGGTCAACATCAATGAGAGGGATGATAAAGGTTCAACACCAGCTCATAAAGGTTAGAAAACTTTTCACATTATTCAACATATTTTATCGTTACTGAACTGAACCTAAAGCACTTGTGGTGACCTTTTTGTGATATATTTCTGTGTGTTGTGCATACATGTGAACTCTCCCACTTTTAGTGTGAGTCTTCCTTTTCTGCAGCCATATTTTCAAAGATTTTTCTTAAAATAAGGGGCATTTTCACAAATTAAAGAAATCTCCCTATTTTTGATGTCAGAACTTCCTTCTTTGTTTATTGCAAATTCTAAAATCTCCCTCTTTTTGAAGAAAAATCTCCCACTAGATCATCGAAAGTCCACATGTATGGTTGTGGTTAAATATAATTTCATTTAAACAACCCTGCTTTTAGAGAAATTGGTTATTACTTATTCATTATCCACTGAACTTGATTAGGTGGATTAATCGCAAAGATATGGCTAGAAAAACAAACAATCCACTTTAAAATTGACGAAACTTGCAAGGGATAATACATGTACTTTCATGAAGCCCTACTAAAATGTTTCACGTAATTTGATTCAGAACTCTTGTTTCCATGGCAACCAAAATCTTTTTGTTTAATGCATCAAAGCAGTAGTCTTCCTGGTTAGTTCAAATATGACATTTACTTAATCAGTGATTTCAAAACATCCAGGAATATATTTAAGACCGAGTTTATTCAAATGTTTTCAGCCGCAGGTCAAGGTCATGTTCATGTTTTACAATGGCTGATAGAGATGGGAGCAAATATGTCAATAACCAATCAAGCAGGAGAAACACCAAGGGATGTTGCCCGGCGATTCTCTAAGCTTGCTTGTGTCAAATTGCTGGGCCGGGATCCATACTTGAGAGGAGAGCAGGAGGAAGCTGATGGTGAGTAAAATTACTAAGAAAGACAACTCTGTAATGTTGACTTGTCTATATTCTTGAGTTCTCTCCCTTATACAAGTCCTGTCAGAGTAACAGACTAAGGCATAAGAATATCTGGAAATTGTGAAAGAGCAATCTTGTCCTTACTACATCAGTAACACTGTGGAAATATGGTGCTGAAAATACATGTAATCAAAAAAAACTATCACATAAAGTCATAATTTGAATTTATTAAAAAGGGTACACTGTATTAAAGAAAGAAAAAAATGTTAAATTTATTGCTTCCACTAGAGGGAGGGATATTATTTGATTATTGTCTCTCAGTTAGATTGTCGTCAGAACTGGCCCCCGAGGTTGTAAAGACATTCTCTGAGCTCAAACTTAGAGCTTAGGTATTTGATGGGTCACAAACTGCCCAGAACTTCAGTGACTAATGAAAATCCTGTGGTTTGAGACAGAACTCAGACAAAAATTTTTTATAACTTTGAGGCCTGGGTTGTTATAGTGTTGATAAATATTCAACATTTTATGAAGGTACAATTTATTATACTTTGAAATTTGGTACTACTGGTAAATCTGGTTCATATTCCTTAGGATAGAAAATAATTGGCGTGAGCAATTTGTGGTGGAAACACACTGCATTTTTAAATCCAGAGTTTTCTTCGTCCTTTTCCCAGTCTTTGTTCGATTTTCTCTCTCTTTTCTTGCCATTTCCTGATTCATTTTGAGGTGTAGTACCTGATGTATCATCTTTGCTTTGTTGATTTTGGTCTCCACTACCGTCATTTGACCCAGTATCCTTTGGTTTGTTTTTAAATGATTCCCGCTCTCTGGCAACATGACCGGAAACTGCGGTGATAAATTGAAGAAAATTGACGGGCTTTGCAACAGAGTCGTATCTTTCGAGAAATATTTTTTTCATTCCGTGTAAAAGCCAGGAACCGTCATCTGTGTTCCGTTTGGCCTTTTGTCCGGATACAACGGGGTATATAAGTAAATACTGCTCCGGCATCTTTGACAGTGCTAGTTGCTGCAATGTGTGATCTTCTACAGAAGCCACATTAAATCTTCCTAGCGAAGGGTCATCTTCATCTTCGGCCCGAATGTTGACAGCTAAATTTTCTGAGCTTTGTTCTGAAAAATGGTCAATTTTTTCTCATGATACAATACATAGTAAAAATATGAATCAGAATGTTGCATTGAAAAAAACACTGCTGTGTTTATATATAAGTTATAGATAAGTTCATAACAACATGATTAACATACTGAGAAAATTTTCCTCTTGTCTTAAGTCTCCATAAATTGTTATCGTCAACAGTGATTTAATTGCATATTTACACACACTTTCCATCGTCACCTTGGAGCAAAAAGTAATGTAACTGACATTTTTTGAGAAAATCACTTTTTGTCATTATTTGGTTAGAAATACAATCTTTCACCAGTCTCTGAAGTTAAGAAGCTGAATTTTGATAAAAAATGACTTTTTTGGCATAAAAATAAAAAATGTAAGTGCAGCTTCAGAATTTGTTGGTGCAAAAACTACAGTAAGTACACTTACATGAGTTTTTGCGCCAATGTTTTTACAGATAAGTTGAAAATAATTTGATGCAAAAAGTATTGTAACTGCATTAAAATATTTCACTAATGCATTATTAAATAGCAAAATTATTTCTAAAATACAAATTTTATATATAAATCGACTTAAGGAAACTAACATTTAAAGAAAATGTTTTATTTTAATTTAACAACAAATAATATAGCTAGGAATATTTCAGTATTCAAATTTTGTTGATATTTTTAAATGATTCCAGTAATAAGAGCTGTCATTGATTCGGTGGAAATGCTTCTGCATAATTATGTTTTGGTTGAACTTCATAATTTCTAGACATTCAATTATTAAATCAAAATTATCGATTTTCTAAAATGTGTACTGATCATCAAAAAATTATCAACGATGCACATCAATATCATTTCTATTGATGACAGCTCTAAGTAATTTTTTTTTTTCAATTGTTTACTCAATTATTTATTATAAAAATAAAGATAAAACTTGCTTAAAAGATTTACATTCTTATTGCATTATATAAGGACAACAGTAAACTGTATTATAAAAATGTAACTGCAATTTCACTGTTTATAGCCCTGGAAAGAAACAGTTGCTAACATTGGTTTATCTTTTCTATTCTAATTTCTATAAAAACATGGCAGACAAAGACATGTAATCTGTTTCAATAATATATTGGTCAAAACCATAATTGCTAGTATGTTAAGTCTAATGTGGTGCATCTACAACTCCCATACATTCATACATATAGAATGGGGTCTATTATCAAAAATTAGAATGACTCAGTTCATTCTCTATGTCGTGCATGTAAAACACTTTAATTAACAGAAAATCTCAATTTTCAAAGACCCAAACCACATTATGTCACAGAAATTAATCTGAATTTTTATATAAAATCAAAGCTATTAAACCATGATAGTGATATGGCGTATAATGTTTAAAGTTTGGTGGCAGGAAATAAGACAATTTGAATTCAATATATCAAAATTTTGAAAAGAAGAAGCAATGAAAACAAAATTATTTATAAAAATTAAAGTCTGTTCATGAGATATAATATAAAAGGATCTCACTGGGATATGTTGGACAAGAAAAGTTTAGGATTCTTAGCAGGTTCATCCAAAATCTCGACTACATCCAACCAAAATGTTCAGAAAAGTTCAAGATTCCTAGTGGTTTTATCCAAAATCTCAAAGTCTACGTCCCTGTAATGGTTGGATATTATTGAGACATAGATATTATGATAATATTATATAGATCTCCAAATGCCCCTTTTTATAACAAATACATAAATAAACTGTACCATTAGAAAATGACAACAGTAAAAAACATGGTTAATAAGTTGTCACGTACTTCACTTCAGTGTTGTTATGTTTTTCTGGTTCTCTGTAATCATTGATTCCAGTACTTTTAAGTGTTGAAAATTGAGTACAGCTTAAGTTGGTGCTAGGGGGCGTGAGGGATATTGCACTTTCCATTATTGCTCATGTACAGACTTAATCAACTGAGTCTGAAGTTTTCATGTAATTTTGTTGTGATTAATGCTTACATTTACTTTGAAATTAAAAAAAAATACACTGCTTTGGATTAACTGTTACTGTTTAAAATTAATTTTTAAATATTCAGTTTTTGAACTTCCTGTCATATGTTTAATGTATTAAATGTGGTTCATAATCCACAATGACCTTTTTTAAACAAACCTTTCAATTAATTTGTTTATAATAAACATCTTTCAATGTATATACAATGCAGTAACTTCGATACTTAAAATTAGAGTTAGTGCAAAAACTATGGTAAGTGCACTTACATCACTTTTTGCATTTAAAATCACAGTGCAAAAAGTCATGTAAGTGTAGAAGAATGTCTAATTACTTTTTATCCATAAATGAATAATTGTAATGTTTAAAACCAATTTAATAATACTTATTAATGATATTTTAACATTATTGTCTGGAATTAAAAGGGTTTACTCAAAATTAACAAATCAGTTTTTTGTGTCTCCTGTAAAATTTCAAAAATGTCGGTTACAGTACTTTTTGCGCCAAGGTGACGCCATGTCCTTCTATGATCAATAGGGACATGTTAGAATATACTACTTCTTATGCATATTAACACACTTTTATAGATCTATATTAAAATTCTAAATGCTCTCACCTGATGAAGGATTATCTATTGGCAATAGAGCACCTTTATCTTGCATTGCTTTCACTTTGTCTGAAAGTAAGTGACACTTTTTAAGCTTGATTATAATATAAGTCTTATATTATAAGACTTTTGCAGTATTTTGTTATATGAACAGTTACTGTAGATTTAAATTTAATTAAAGGATTGCAAATATTAATTTTATACATGTGATTATTGGCATGTAAAGATTGTGTCTGCATTATCTGCATTGTCCTCCAGTATATATACAGAGCTCCAGATATTTTTTTTGGCCAAGGGGTTTTTACCCCTCAAAATTTAGAGTGAGGGGTAAAATGTAAAATCTGAAAAACTTAAGGGGTAAAATCTGTCAAAAAAGCATTTTGCATTTTTTATAAACAAATTAAACTTATTGTTTTTGTGTGTTTGTTTATTTTTCTTTTTTTAGAAAAACCTTTAAAAATAAAATACTGATTCAATGTGAAGCAATACAAAACGTGCCCTGTAAAGTCAGACTTCCAGAGTATACTGGAACTCAAGTTTAGAATACACAGTAAAATTATCAGGGCTTCCATTTTAAAAATTTGGTATTGGTCTGAGAGAAAATTGTCCGAAACTGTAGACTGGGTACGAAAATATTGAGTACAAAACTGCAGGTGAAAAACTTGTTATTTATCTAGCAATATCAATTATACCTACCATTATCCTTATACATGGCCCGACACACTTGCAGGATTATGATACGTGGCTTCCCTTTCAATGTTGGGCAGTTTACATCATTCAGAGCTTCAAATATTTCGGAAAGATGAATACTGTTGCCGTCTGAAAATATAATCTCGGTCTCAGTAATCTCCCTGCCATGGGAGCTAATTGCAAGAACAAAATATTTTGAGTCTGTGTGGTCTGTGTATATTATACGACATCGTAAACATTGACAATCTCCTTCAGGACCTGGAGCCGGTTGTTTTCCTTTTCGATGGTCCCATTGTAGCGTGGTAACGTCCTCGTGACAGTCCTGATTCAGCCATTTAAATCCTAATTTTTCAATAAAAACCAGTTGTAGGTTTGCACTGTCTTCATTGGCTCCCTCGCGAATTTTGAATTCAAATTTTCCTGAATCTCCTTTAGGGTTGGTGTTGACGACAAGCATAGCGTAGCCTGGTGGTTTGTGAACTGGTTGAAATGAATCAATATCTTTTTGACCTTGTGGAGAAGTTGCAGATGAAGATGCCATGTTTGGAGTAAATCTGTAATATAGATGACAAAAATGAATTGGCCGCATGAAAATGTTGTTGAAATC